GCTAGGAGCTGGAACCAACTTCCAAGGGAAGTGGTGCTGGCTCCTACCCTGGGGATCTTTAAAAAGAGGCTTGATGCCTACCTGGCTGGACTCATTTGAGTCCAGTTTTTTTTTCTCCCGCCCACGTGGGGGGTTGGACTTGAAGATCTACAAGGTCCCTTCTGACCCTACTTCTATGATTCCATGAACTTCTGGAATAATGTGTTACATTATTAGCAGAAATATTTATGAACTGTTGTCTTAGTAGTATTTTAAAGCTCAGTTACTTTTTAAGTATTGGGTATCTGTACTTCATCTGAATTAATGGTTATTAGTAGGAAAAGATCTTAAATCATATGTTGTTTCCTGATATAGGAGAAAAGGAAGCTACCTAAATTTCCAAATGGATCTACCCCTACTGGAGAGACGCTCAAAGAAGAGGGCCATCATGCTGGACCTGAGCTACAAAGGACTGGAAGGTGTGTTTGCTTAATTAAGTTTGAGTAATCACAAAAAAAATTGGAGCAGTAAATCATTACTAATTACAGTTTTCTGTGATGACATTATCAATACCTTTATTATGAATTGAAAGGATTTAATTAAGCGCATCTCTTCCTTTTCCTTTTCAAGTGTTAAGTTCTTACCTATGATTGGCCTACTTTAAATCATTATCAACAGTATGTCAATATTTCTCAACACACTTGTGAAGGATTTCATTATATGATAATGCCTCCTTTAATTGACTAAATTTTCAGAAATCATTTTTAATTTTAAGCTGTTATAAAGCATGCATTTATCATACATATAGCAGAAAATTGATTTTTTTTTTCTATACTGGGCTAGATATTCAAAATGTTACATAGAAACAAAAAATCAGTGTCAAAGAAGAATTCTACAGAAGAAACTAAAAGATACCCAACAAAACAAAAATTACTGGGCAGTCTCCACATTCAAACACTGATAGCTTCCCGCAAGGAACAGAATGTAGGCAAAGTATTGATATTTGTCCTGCACTCATTTTCAATGACAACTCTTGTACATAAATCACATTCCTTTTCTGGCAAGTTTAGTAAACGGATACCCTTGACTACAACACTTAATTTTCTATAAATTTAGTAAAATATTTCACAGGCTATATTCTAATTCTTTCCCCAGAACCAGCCTTGGATCAAGAATAGGGGAAAAACTAGAAATTCAGAAAGTAATATTCTGTAGGCTAAAACTAGTCAGTAGTATGTTTTTTAGAGATTTAAAGAGAACTTGTCACCATGTGAGCTGACTTGATTTTCAGTTCAAGTAAAGTCTTCCTTGTTTCCATATACAGGCCAATGGAGCTTGTAATATGTACAAATGATCCTTCTCTTAAGAACAGAATGTTATGTTTTTTTCCACTGTTCTGTGACCATACTCTGAATTCATAACCAAATATTTTTGTAAATATTTGGTTTAATATGGGTTTGACCTTGTCAACATTTTTAGAGAACATCTATCATCAAAATAGCAGTTTCTGCTTCTATTTTGCTCAGTTGAATTCATTATACTATGTCTTTTTTTATTTTTCTTAAAATTCTTCTATATCTAGAGCCCATTGCTGCAACAGATGGGAGACGGATATTATTTATATATTTAGAAAACTCTCTATATGGAGAATTTCGCTAAAAAAAAACTAAAGCTGCTTCTACAACTCATAGATTTCTGGTAAACATTGGAGTGCAGGAAATGACAATGGTTCTGGAACTAGATTTGAACTGCTCTCTTCATGTTCAGTTTGTTCTGAACATCATTGCATTTGGGTATGAGGTTCTAAACACTGTTTGGTTAAAATAATTTCCAAGGATCTCTTTCAATATCTAGCCCATTATATGCAAAATATGTAGCCACCTTTTAAAAATGTGAAATATAATTGCTTTTTCTAAAATTGCTTAATTGGGATCATCTAAATTATTTTACATTTTAGTATTATATTTTAAATTGGATTATGAAGTGGTTAACTTGTGCTAGCAATTGGCACTGGCAGTCTTGTGTAGCCCATAGTTTTAACTAGCTAGAATCCTCTAGTGTACAGTTTGACAAGTTTCATCTCACCTATTTAGGCTTTTTGGTGGTTTGATGCTTGACATCAAAAGGAAAACAACTTTTTTCTTGAGTGACTTCAAGGATGCACTAAGCCTGCAGTGCCTGGCCTCGATTCTTTTCCTATACTGTGCCTGTATGTCTCCTGTAATCACTTTTGGAGGGCTCCTGGGAGAAGCTACACAAGGCAGAATAGTGAGTACAAAGAATGGTAGTAGCCAGGCTTTTAGATCTTCAGAGGCAAGTCACTGTGTGCATTTGTCTCATTTATTCACACTTTTATTTGAAGAATTTACCCACAGCACTTGATTTAGCCTGCCCCAAAACAGACCTTCCCCCAAAAGGTAATTGCTGTGGAAAATGTGGGAAACCCATGTGAACAGGAGAAGATGCACAGTCGAGGTAAAAATCTTTATCCTGCCTTACTGGATGAATGGCTTCATGAATTGAGAGAGGTCTTGCGTTGCCTCTCTTTGGAAAGGGGGGATAGAACTGGGTCTTAATTTAAAAAAGTAAAACTTAAATCCATAAAGGTGCACCATCCCAGTGGTCTGCTTAGGATAAGTCACAGGCTCAAGGTGGATAGTAAAGAGAACCTAATGGCCTTGAGTAATAAGTCTGGATGGATGATATCTACAATACACTAGAGGATGTGAATTGTGTATTTAAACAATGGGTAAAATATACTTTTTCACTATTTGTATATTGTTCTTATTCTCAGTAAGAGGAAATAATCAAGGCTTACAAACAGAAAATACTCTTCATTTTTATGTATTAATGTAGTTGGCTATAAAGCACAATTTCAGTTTTGGTAGTACAATATGAACAGTATTTAACAGCACCAGATCTGTTTTTAATTGCATTTTTCAGAAAAGGGAAGGGAATGGTCACGTCATCTGTCTTGAGTTGGTGTTTCTGCATTAATTGGCTAATAATAAAAATTAAAATAATTTAATGAAGTGTATTTTCTGCTTTATGAAATGTGAAAATTAGACTGTTTTGAGTGAAAAGGGTATATTTTAAATATCTCAATTTTTTTTACGGTTTTGATTAAACCTTTCTCCTTCAAAACACAGAATTCACCATATTACTTTTCAGAACAAATATTTAAACTCGTGTCAGTGCTATTAGTTGTTTGCAAAAGATAAAGTGTGATTAAATGCTAGTAACTTAGATATTTGCCTATTGATATGAAAATTTGAACAACTTATTGGCTATTACAAAATCTACTTACAGAAATAAGTAATATTCTTTACTATGGAGTACTTTACCTGCACCTAAATTTGTTCAGATAATTGGCATTAAAATGTTAACATGTTTGTTGAATGTACATCTTGTGTCACTTTGGGACCTGTGTTTCTTTTGAGCTTCATGTATAAATAGCTTCTTTCTTTTAGCTGTCTGGGATGGTTTGTGGGTTTGTTTCCTGCCTTTTAAATATTTGGGTGTGAATCACTGAGTATAATGAATTTAGTTTCTGCAAATATTCTTTCAAGCCCAGTAGATGACATTGTAAGGTACACAGTTTGTGTTCACCCCTCTCTCATTCCCAAAAGCTGTCCTTCCTCAGTACTTCCTTTTCCTGACAGCCTAATTTAAAGCCCAAAGTTAATGAACTGACTTAAAAACACTTGTTCAAGGTTAATTGTTGAAACGAGCTGGGTTTTATAAGCCTCTTAAATTGTTTATGATTTATGAAGTTACATTGTTTGTGGCCCCCATTCAGCAAAGCAGTTTTTTACTCCTGGTTGTGTTTTGTTGAATAATTTTGTTTGCCTAATTTTTGTATCTTTCTCAGATTTGAATAATTACAGAATATCAAATAGGTTTTTAAAAATTGCCGCTCAAAACTTCTCTGTTGAATAACTTTTTCATCGTTCTAATTCTAACTGGATTAGATAATTTGTGAAAATCTTTAATACTGTACTGACTTGTATTGTACAAGGTTTGATTCTCTCCCGGGGTAGATTATTTCTTTCCTTCCTCCCCCCGCCCCCTGATGGGATGTTGGCTTATTGGTTCTTAAATTTATTGTCATGTATTCGTAAGCCAGTATTTTTCAGTAAGCCTAGTTAGGTGCATTTTGCAATGCATGGCTCATGGGTGCAGGTTTGATATAGCGCACATGCTATTTTGATACAGGTCTGGTGCAGTATCTTCTTTCTTAAAGAGACAGCCAACTTTATTAGAACATGTGTTGATTAGGTACTATGTTTTTGTTATAACATTTGGTAGGTGCTTTCCTTCACAGCCTCCAGAATGAATAACTTTTTTTTTCTTTCATGGTTTTGGGCTGCTTTATGTTTCTCAAAAGTAAAGCATTCCAAAGCTTTTGACCTTGATGCTGTTCCAGCAAAGTTTGTGTTAAGTTACACTTCTGTGTGAAACAACAATAACTTCAATGCTTTTACATCATGTCTTGTTTCTAATTTAGGGTATTAAAATACATTAACTATGTAAACAATGTGGGAAATGTTAATTTTAAAATCAGTGTAGTCATGAAGATTTTTTTTCCCCAAACAGAGTGCAATAGAGTCTCTCTTTGGAGCCTCGTTAACTGGGATTGCCTATTCTCTGTTTGCTGGGCAGCCTCTTACAATATTGGGGAGTACTGGACCAGTTCTAGTATTTGAGAAAATATTATTTAAATTCTGCAAGTAAGTAACATTTTCTGATCTTGCCACTACTTTTCATTTTAAGACCATAGAATTTTAGATCTCAGTTCTGTATAGTGATGTTATGACTTAGCTCCTTGATTTGATCCAAAACTAAGAGAGAGCTGCTTTTCAGCTCTGGTTTGAATGTATGTCAGTTTGCAAGAAGAGCCTACAAGACTTTAACTGTGGGATTTGTGAACTGGAGCTCTAGCCATGATTTGACTACAAAAAATGAAACGAATTCTTGCCTTCAACCTGTCTTGCTCCAAATACTGTTTTTATATCCCCATCTCTATTAAATATATTTAAATAGAATGGCAAATTTAAAAAACAAATATAATTTTAATTAGGAATGTGAATGATTAAGCATTTTTATCTGTCTACATATTGATAACTGGTAATACCTTTCTTACTGGTAATCATTTAGCACAAGATAGGGAACAGTCTGGCAGTTAAGAAGGGGAAGAAAAGTAGCATGGTACCCCTGCAGGCACAGGAGGGGAAGGATGGGCCGGGAGGCAGGAGGAACCAATACTGAGTATGGAATGGGAGCTGTGAGGGGCCTGATTCTTGTGGCAGCGCAGTCCCAGCCTCTTCCCTGCCGTCCACCTAGAGGTGCATATGCATCTGCTACCAGCAGTGAGCCAGGCTAGGGCTGCACAGACCCTGGTGTAGCCACTTGTAGCCTCCCCTTGGGCTGCTCATGACAGGTGGTTGGGTATGCTGCAAGTAACTGCACTGGGGTCTGTGGAGCCCAGTCCTGACTTATCGCCAGTGGTGGCTAGACATGCACCTAGGGTGCATGGTGGGGAAGAGGCTGGCGTGTGCTGCCAGAAGAAGGATTGGGCCCCCCACAGCTTCCCTACTGTCTGCTCTGGGGTATGTGTGCACCTGCTTCTGGCAGTGAGCCAGGCCAGGGCTCTGCAGACCCTAGTGCAGCCACTTGCAGTCCTGACTCCTAGGCAGGCATGCACCTATGGCAGCAAGGAATGAGGGGCTTGCCTAGCCTAGTGCTGCTGCCTGGAGGATAAGTAAGTATGTGTGGGAGCTGGTCCCTGGCAGGTGCATGTTATCAGTTAACTGTTTATCTGATAACATGAGGGGAGTTTAAATGGGTACTTAATTAAGCAGTATTTACAGCCCTAATTTTATTACCTATTCAATATCACCCTTGAAAAGAGAATTTTAAAAGCTATTTAGATATTTAAAATGATAATTGTATTACACAGATGAAAGAAAAAAGTGGAACCACTTCCTTTGTAGAAATCACTAATATTAAATCTTCTGTCTTCATAATATTCTCAATTTTAGCATCTGTTTTAGGAGATACGGTGTGCATCTTAAACCTTAAAACTAGTATATATGAAAACTTTAGTGTTGTTTTTTTTTTAATCTACAACAGTTCAGGGTCATATTCTGCCCAACTTGCAAATACAAAAAATATTAAAGAATTGTTTAAATTAAACGTTCAGATATTTCTTAGTTTTCAGTTGGTGATCTCTAATTAAGTGGCAAATGCTGTCCCTAGCAGCAATTGCTGAAGTAATAACACAGATTGTGGAGACATAAAAGAAACACTGGTGAACCACTTACTTTAGCAGCAGTTGTGAAGCACAGATTGACCCCCGCCAAGTAAATTGGAGTTCCAGGCAAAGGCCAAATTCTAATTTAATAGAATATTTACCTGACCTTTTTGCCTAAAATACAATGGTGGCTTTGAATAGGAGGGAGTGACCAAGGACTAGTCTGGCTGCGGGGAACTCTGACTAGGTAGGTAGCTTTGAAAAGAACCTAACCTCTCTTCTTGGCTGGAGGGCATTCTACACCATTAACCTGGTTATCCCCTGTGGAGTGTAGTAAGGCCAGCCCACAGGATCAAAAAGAGATGAAAAAAATGGTCTCAACTCTACCTAAAACAAGGCGGCCCTGCTGAATAAAGCCGGTGGGGGTGGGGGTTGAATAGGTGCAGGAAAAAAAACTTGGCCTACTTCTCTGTTCCAAGGTGGAGTAGGGTGTAGGTATAGGTAATCTTGACGTTTCTCCAAATGCTTCTCTTTCTCTTCTCCCCTTTCCCCAAAACAGGGACTATGGTCTTTCCTATCTCTCCCTACGAACCAGCATTGGTCTGTGGACTTCATTTTTTTGCATTTTATTAGTAGCAACTGATGCAAGCAGCCTTGTATGTTACATCACTCGATTTACTGAGGAGGCCTTTGCAGCACTCATTTGCATAATATTTATCTATGAGGCATTAGAAAAGCTTTTTCATTTGGGAGAACTGTACGCGTTCAATATGCACAATGACTTGGATAAACTGACTTCATATTCGTAAGTGTCATCTTTTTTACTATATTTGTCATATTTTACAGTACACTGAAATGTTTTGACTCAATAAATGTATATAAAGGTGTACATACATAATACCATTTGTTCATAACATTTGAAAACTTGAATTCTTTAATTTTTGCATGTTCTGTTTAGTTCATTTTATTTTTTCTAAAAAACGCAGCTTTGACTAAATGTTATCCAATCTCAGTTGCATATGATCCAAGCAGAAGGCACGGGAGGTATAAAACGAGGGTGAGCAATTATTTGGGCTGGAGGGCCACTTAGGGAGTTTGGTTGGCAACCCCTGGGCTGCAACAGCTCACCAAAATGTCTTAAATGGCTTTGTCCTGCACTTGGCTGGGCAGATGGGATGGGGCCACAGGCAGGTGGGAAGTGGCATCTGGGAGTGGGATGGATGGGTGGGACTGGGATCAGGATCACGGGGCCATAACATTGTGGGGCCTGGGGCAGAGACAATCTGTTCCTCACGTGCCCCTGCCTGCAAAACTGGCATCCATCATCGGAGGTGTGGGCAGATGCAAGGGTGTATGGAGACCTCGCCCACCCACTGTGTCTGGCACGCTGGCAGTGGGTGCAGGGCAGCTGGGCCATAGTGCTGGGTAGTGGAGCCAGGTTCCCTGGTGGCAGAGACTGGCAGTGGCAGCTGGAAGGAGCCACTGCTGTCAGGGTGGCCGGGAAGCAAGTCTAGCCACTGCCACCCCAGCCCTGCTGTGCACCAAGGGGCAACAGGATCAAGTGCATGTGCCATGGCTTCAGCTACCCTCTGTGTCTGAGCTGGGCTGGGTGGGTCTGAGGGACCTACCACGGGTTAGATACGTTTCCTTGCCCACAGGCCATATCTTTCTCACCCCAATATAAAAACAAACTAGCTTCCGCATGTTTTGGAAACTTCTCTATCTTGTGGTTTTTAATACATGAATTTCTGGCTTGATAACCATGCACTGCATTGTAATCAGTTTATACCAGTGATTCTCAGTCTTTTTAGGTTTAAAGCAGCCTTGAAAAATGCCAGCTCTTAGTTGCTACTTGTTATTTTGACCCTACAGAAAAGTAATGGAGCAATTTAAGAATTAAAAAATACTACAGCAGGTCAGAATGTTTTTAATGCTGTGGATTGCTGTTTAAAATATCTGAGTTTATCTTGTGAATCATGTTTACACACCTAGCAGAGTTAACATAGCATGGTACCCTTTAAAAGGAGCTCCAGGTACCCATGACTGGATTTAGGCGTGCAAGCACATGTGGCACCACAAACCTTGTGCATTGCACATTAAACTGTGTATGGCACTATCTAATGGCTTTATTTTATAAACCCATCCTTTTATTATTTAATTTTGAATCATTTTATTGCACAGACTGAGGAGCCTTGAGCTCTATCTTTTCACAAATGTATAGGAAGTGCTGTTCTAAAAACATTTTTGAAAATATAAATTACTAAAAATCACCACATTGTTACCCATTTACAAGTTTAAAACCAAATAAACAAGAATGGGAAAAAAATCATTAAAAGTACTTTTAATTTATCTTTCAGATGTGTATGTTCTGAGCCTCAAAACCCCAGCAATGATACTTTAGAGATCTGGGCAAAAAGCAATAAGTCTGTGGATACCATAACATGGAGTAACCTGACAGTTTTGGTGAGTACCTGTGAAGATAAAATGCAGACTTATTTTAATCTTTGCCAAATAGAATCTGAAATGGTTACTTTGCAGTTCTATATAGGGGATATTTAAGACAGTGGGGAAAAAACTGGAAGTTTGGAGAGTAATGTTTCCCTTCCCTTTTCAGTACCTGAATAACATATTTTACGATTCATGCCAATAAGTCTCCATTTCACAAAAAGAGGTTGATCTAAATGTTTACTATTATTATTGGCTTATTTCATTTTCATAGGCTAAGGACAAGCTGTGTCCAAAATTTAGGTAAAACATGCATGTGATTATTTTGCTCTATTACTATTGTATCATGGTAGCATTTATTTTTAGTAGGCTGAGTCCTCATTTCAGTATGGATGACAATGAACTTGATGTGCTTAAAGTTTAAGCAAGAACTTAAAGTGCTTCTCAAAATATTGTACACACTATATTTGATTTATACTTTTATCTTTACTACTTCTTCGTATCCAAATGAAAGTCTTCATCTATAATACTTTATTTTAGGATTAAAAGTGCATATTAGTCAGAAGTCAACATTTGCCGACAGTTACCATTATAATAAATATTTCCTGCCCAAATATTATATCTGATATACTGTTATCTAATAGTTAATGGCAAGTGCTGTCCTTCCACATTTCCACTATAATAATTCATTTCCCAAGGTTGCTGCATGTACTGAACAGTTTCAAGGATGCTTTGAATTCTGATCCACGTCTTGGCACGATCTTCTTTGTTCATTTGTGAATTTTACTTGTTCATTGGTTAGGATTGTTACCATATATTTAAATTATCTGTGAGATACAGCCCATGGGCTTTGTTTTGAGCCTCAAAACCCCAGCAGTGATTCTTTTACAGATGTGGGCAAAAAGCAATAATTCATAAGGGCAAACATAGTGTCCATATTTAAGAAAGGGGAAAAAGGAGGATCCAGGGAACTACAGACCAGTCAGCCTCACCTCAGTCCTTGGAAAAATCATGGAGCAGATCCTCGAGGAACCCACTTGTAAGCATGTGGTGGAGGAAAAAGGTGATTAGGAACAATTGCCATGGATTCGCCAAGGGCAAGTCGTGCCTGATCAACCTGATTGCCTTCTATGACGATGTGACTGTCTCTGTGGATGGGGGGAGACTGGTGGATGTGATGTACCTGGTGTACCTCGATTTTTAGCAAGTCCTTTGATACAGTTTCCCACAGCATTCTCGTAGGAAAGATAAGGAAGGTATGGTGTGGATGGACTGTAAGGTGGATAGAAAACTGACTGGAGCATCAGGCTCAGAGTAGTAATCAATGGCTCAGTGTTTAGTTGGCAGTCAGTATCAAGTGGAGTCCCCCAGGGGTTGGTGCTGAGGCCGGTTTTGTTCAAGGTCTTCATCAGTGACTTGGAAGATGGCATAGAGTGCACCCTCAGCCAGTTTGCAGAGGACACGAAGCTGGGGAGAATAGTAGATACCCTGGAGGGTAGAGCTAGGATTCAGTGTGACCTAGACAAATTGGAGGACTGGGCCAAAAGGAATATAATGAGGTTCAACAAGGACAAGTGCGAAGTCCTGCATTTAGGATGCAACAATCTCATTCACCAGTACAGGCTGGGGCTGACTGGCTGGGCAGCAGCTCTGCAGAAAAGGACCTGGGGGTTACAGTGGACAGTAAGCTGAAATGAGTCAGCAGTGTCCCTTAGTTGCCAAGAAGGCTAACAGTATCCTAGGCTACATTGGTAGATGTGTTGCCAGTAGGTCAAGAGAAGTAATTTATTCCCTTCTACTCAGCACTGGTGAGGCCACATCTGGAGTACTGTGTTCAGTTTTGGCCCCTCACTACAAAAAGGATGTGGACAAATTGGAGAGAGTCCAGTGGAGGGCAACAAAAAATGGTGAGGGGGTGAGACTTATGAAGAAAGACTGGAGGAACTGGGCTTATTCAGTGGGGGCGTGTGAAGCAGGCAGTATTAGATTCAGATTCAGCCTGATTTTGTGGACAGTGATTTGATTTGCTGATTCAGATCACTGTCCCAATTTGATTTGGCCGAATCTGCATCTGAAGATTTGATTCTGATTTGGAGAATCAGCAATTCAGCCATAAACATGGCTTTGTTTTTTTTCTACGTATCCCAAGGTACGAGGCATGGCTTGTGAACACTGAGATGCTGAGGCAGATGAAGCATCCTATGAGAGTGCAGGGCAGTCCACCGCCGAGCATGCAGGGGACCTGGAAGTGGACTGGAAGTACTTCTGGTTCACTTCCAGGTCTGCTGCCGAGCACGCAGGGGACCTTCCACGTGCCCTGGCTCAGTGATCAGCCATGGGGGGAACCCCAGGTGTCCTCCCCCTGACCCAGGAGGCACCAGTTGCTGAGCTGGGGGTGGGGGGCATAGGGGTCCCCTGCACGCTCTGCTGTGGACCTGGAAGTGGACCAGAAGTGCTTCTGGTCTGCTGCCAAGCGTGCGGGGGACCCCCCCTGCACTCCTGTGTGATGCTCCATCCACCCCACCATGTCAGCGTTTACAAGCCGTGCCTGGTACCTTGAGGTACGTAGAAAAAAGAGATACACCTGTATCTATGGCTAAATCTTCAAATCTCTCCAAATCAAATTGGAGGCTTCTGATTTGATTCAGACAGATTAATGGGTTTCCTGATTCGATTCAGATTTGGAGATTTAACCGCCAAATTGGGCCAAATCTCCTCCGAATTGAATCAGTAACCGAAGCTTCGCACCCCTTATTTAGTCTAGAGAAGACAAGACTGAGAGGAGACTTAATAGCAGTTTTCAACTACCTGAAGTGGGGTTTGAAAGAGGATGGAACTAATCTGTTCTCTGTGGTGGCGGATGACAGAACAAGGAACAACAGTCTCAAGTTGCAGCAAGGAAAGTTTAGGCTGGGTCTAAGGAAGAATTTTCTCATTACGAGGGTAGTAGAACACTGGAACAGCTTACCCAGGGAGGTGGTGGAAGCTTCATCCTTGGGGGTGGGGGGGGGTTTCAAAACCCAGCTAGACAAAGCTTTGGCTGGGATGATCTAGTTGGGGATGGTTCTGCTTTGAGCGGGGGTTGGACTAGATGACCTCCTGAGGTCCCTTCCAAACCTAACTTCCTATGATTCTATGATTGTGTGTATGTGTATTTGTACTGTCACACCAGCTTAACATTTTAAGCAATTGCCTATAACCTCCCCAATAATTCTATACTTTTCTCATCTGAAATCAAGAAGAAATTAATTTCTTCTTAATTCTGGCCAAATTCTTCTACGGTAATGCCACCCAACAAGCACATCTCCAAGTTAAAATCTGTAGGGGGTGTGTGCGTGCGTGTAGATTTTTTTAATTTGGAGTTTCCCCCGAGGCAGACCCAGGCTGTGGTCCTATGCAGCCAGGGAAGGGGTTTAAACCTCCTTCCTCCCTACCTCAGCCTGCAAGCCCCTGGCCATCCCCCCAGTAGGGAATGGAGGACAGAAGCCTGGCAGGGGCTGCCCCCTATGCAGACTAGGGGTGGGGTCCTGTGGGGGCCTAGGAGGGGGTTTAACCCCCCCCTGCCTTCAAGTGCTGGCCCTGGGTTGGGGTCTGGCCAGGTGCCCTGCTCTTTGCTTGAGCTGGGTGACAGAAGCCTGGCAGGTGCTGCCCTCTGTCAGACCCAAGCTGTGGTCCTGTGTGGGTCTGGGAGGCGGTTTGAACTTCCTCTCTCCCTACCTCAGTGTGCAAGACCTGGGTCAGGGTGTGCCCCTTCTCCCCCCCTTCACTCGAGGAAATGATGGGGCAAAAGCCTGGCATGGACTGCCCCCATCTCGGCACAGAGCAGGGGGGCAAAGGCCTGGCGGAGACTGTTGCATTCCTGCACTGGGCAGATCTTGACTGGGGTCCCCTGCGGGCCAGGGAGGGCAGTTTAAAGCCCCCTTGCTCCTGGCCTCAGCCTGCTGAGGCTTGGCCATGCCCCCTCTGCTTGAGCAGGGAAGCTAGGAAAGCCTTGGAGTGCTTCTCTCCTTCCTTCCCTTTTGGCAGTGACTGGGAGGTGTGCTCTAGCAGCCTTCAGCTTCTGGCCTGTGCCACTGCAGGCATGTGGCTGCATTTGCAGTCAGAAGTGAATGACTGTTCACATGCTTATTAGTTTAATCTATGCATGTTAGTCAAAACTGCAAAGATTGAAGTGATTCAGCCTCTGGCTTTTTGGCTGTCTGTACTTAACCATGGTAACAATTCTGATCAATGGACAAGTGAAACCCAGAAATTTATAAAACCAAAATATGGGAAACTTTCCAGGTCAGCAGACCAAGCCCAAAATTTGACGTTGCTCATAAACAAATCAGTTTAAATTTCCTGTTTCTCACTTGTTTATTTGAAAGTGTGGATTATTCTTTCAATTGAAATGCTTGGATTGTGTATAGGCTGACAGCCAACTTGTGTTGCTCATGTCTTGTTCTCTTAGGCTTCTGTTGCATGTTACATATATTAGGCAATTAACTGGTTAATTGTATAATAAATTTAGACTAGCCACATATCCAAAGTAATTGCCAATGTGTAGCTCTAAGAAGAGCCTACCAGCTACAAAACTAGTGCTTGAAAATGTGTAACAACGGTATAGCTGGTTTCTATCCAGCTTTAATTTGAACTTGTAACAAGGTCTTTTTACAGTTTCTCTGTATCCACCTGTTGTATTGTCATATGCTGAGTGTAAGTTTTGACACTAGTGGGGCTCTCTCTAAGACTATAACAGTAATACTACTACTAATAATTGGGATTTCATTTTTTCACTCAAATTTGTTATTCATAGGCAGATTTTTTTTTCCCTGGTTTACATGGAGAGATCCTCACCTCTCAAAAATCAGCTTTAACTTGCTATTTAATTCAACAGTATTCCTTCTCAAACAGTACAGTTTAAAAAAACAAACAAAACAGCTTTCCAGTTATAAAAAAATCTTAAAGTTTTGTAGGAAGAACTTAAAGTAGAGAAGAATCTCTAAGAGGATAAATATAAGCCTTATTATAAAGAAATGGGGAAAATGGAGAGAGAATTTAAGTGAGGGAGCCCATTTCAAGGTCATCTTGAAAGATGATTTTGCATGAAATTACTTGCCATACTGGGGTTGAGCCTGCAGAATCTTCCATGATGATGACATCATTTTGAAAAACAGGGTAGAAATAAGTTAACTGTGTTAATGTAATGCTTTCTGTTTATGAAAACACCACCTTTTTGTACACACAGGTTCTGGAAATATTTAAAATTCAGGTTTTGATGCTGAATCTAAGGGGGCATATAGTCAAATCACAATTACTTAAAGCTTTTATTATGGGAGTGTCTTTTCAGAGCAGTTCTTTTTCTTGGATGAGTTTAAGTGAGAGGGCAGAAGATAAATTGATTATTTGAATGAATGTATTTTAAACAATTTAATTAATTTTATTGTCTTGTTTTGCAGGAATGTAAGACGTTTAAGGGTGCATTTCTTGGATCAGCTTGTGGTCATCATGGCCCATATATTCCCGATGTTCTGTTTTGGTCTGTCATATTATTCTTTACAACATTTTTCCTCTCCTCTTTTCTCAAGCAGTTCAAGACCAAACGCTATTTTCCTACCAAGGTAATTGGGGTATAGCCACAGCTTGTTTTGTAACAAGTTTTCTTGCTCACAGTGATGAACTGGATTTTCTTGCATGCCACAGGTTCCCAAATAAGACATGCACCTTATCTTTGCAAGGCAAAGCATAGCCACAGACCAGCTCACGACCCCTCAGTCAGTTCACTGGTTGCTCCAAGTAAAAGTTAGTGTTAATCCTTTCACTGTCACTGAATTAGAAGCAGTTTTTAGCTGGACAGCCAAAAGCTGCTGCCAGTTCAGCAGTGGCGCAGAGAAGGTTAACACTGCCACTGCTGCTTGATAGCTGGAGAGAAGTGATAGCCATTACAGCATAGTGCTTACATGCCTCTTCACTTGATGTACCCTAATTTTAGAGGGCTGATTTTTTTGAGGCAGGAAAAATGTTTGTGGTGTGTGAGTAAATGTGGTAACTTACTCACATGCCTCTTTTTTGCTTTGTGATGTAATTTAAGAAGACTTTTGCTTTTTTTCCATGTCAAACATTAGAATTAGAATTTCCATGTCAAACATTAGCCCACTTTGACTGCTTGATTTTGGTCAGGAGAAGAGAGAAATTAGTGCTGAAAATTTTCAGAATCTTTTTTAAATTAAAAAAAAAAAATCATTGAAGTGGAGGGTTCTGATGATGGTTAAACAGGTATAATTTCAAGGGTTTTTAACAGTCAGTGAACTACCTCTGATTTTTGTAGTCACAGTAATGAATAGGCTAAGTATTCAAAGGTGTAATTAGGCCTATGGATCTGTACTGGTGTTACCAAGTGATAATGTTGTTAATTTTCCTCATTTAACACAGATAAAAGAGATCGCTAACTTTTAATGTCAGAGGTCTGTGAGCACTTATTTAACATTATTATCTAATTCATTTTTCACGACCTGAAACTGTTACACTGGTATCCATCAATCAGCTGAATACAAAGTGTGTGAATGGAGATTTTACCGAGCAGTTCTGCAACTTTATATCCAGGAACTTCCTTTAAAATTACAATAACAGTATACCATTTAGAAATAATTAAGGGGGGAGGATGAACAGTGCCTCATAGAGAAGAGACGAGAAGGATTTGCTAATTGGTAGTTGATTAGTGCTGCAGTTCTTCTGTATTAGGGAGTCCTCCTTTGGGGTAGCCTCTGCAGTATATTGCAAGCTGGGAAACTTATTGCTACTTGTGTAAACATCTTGCAGAATATCATGGCCTTTTTCTGGTCAAGTTGCTCAATATCATGCATAAAAATCAACTATTCTTGGTATGCAATGTTTGAGAGAGGACTGGAAGTTAGACGGTTGCAAATTAGATGCTTCCTCTGTGTGACCATTCTCTTGTGTGTTGATGTGGGGCACAAATCCAATTGGGAAGCTGTTTTTGAGGGACTGGCCCTAATTACAAATGGAACCAGAATACTTCTAACAGCCTGGAAGGAATTGGTTTCCCTCAACAGATTATTTTGAATGGGATTTGTTGAAAACGTTTCAGTCGCATTAGTGTGGACAGTCAGCATACGTTTTGTGCTATATAGCATAAGGAGATACTAGACTGAGATATCCTGGACCTGCTTGCTTTTGATTTGGAAGTAGTGTGGTGTTATGGACTTCTGCTGTTCAGGGTCTATCACATGTTTCAACATGATGTGGCTTTGTCATATAAGCACATTTCCTATAGAAGTGATTCCCAATGGGTGTGCCAAGGCACACTAGTGTGCTGTGCAAAAAGGGCAGGATTGGGCCCACAGACCAGTGAGCAAAGTGTGGTTTTAATCCAGAAAAGAAGTGTTCCCCGGATATCAGAAGTATAAGAAACATTGTTCTATAGTAACCCATGTCATTGGTTTCAAGCTTACAAGTCACTTTAAGGGAGAAGAAATGTGGAGTGTCAGTAATGGGCCTTAGGATTTCTGATGGACCAGATCACATTTTGTATTAACAATTTTTTAAACTCCATTTGAATTTGCAGAAGTTATTGAATATAGCAATGGGAATAGCTGATATAACGTACTTTCTTCCTTATAGGTGCGCTCTACAATCAGTGACTTTGCTGTGTTTCTAACCATCATGATCATGGTTCTGATCGACTACCTTGTTGGAGTTCCGTCTCCTAAGCTGCTTGTCCCTGAGAAGTTTGAAGTAAGAAATAAAAAGTGTTTCTTCCTTTTTAAAGCATATAAATGATCATCAGTCTTAAAGATAACGGAACGATGAACAAGTATATAGTTGAATAAGGAAGAAGCAAATGGTTTTTTCCTTTCAATAGGAATGCAGCTTAAATCAACGCTTTTCCATGCTTTTTCTTAGCTTCCTTCTACTTTTTAATCTACACTTCTGCTTTTGGTCTGTTTACCTGAAGGAGATGTTTTTAATGGAAATCCTTGTTGTTTTTGTTGGAAAGCACAGATTTTTTTAGGAGCAGTATCTGGAAGCTAAAGCTAAAGAAACTTTTTTTTGATTTTTGTCTGTTAAGTTTTCACACAAACCATGCTTTTGTGCGTCTTAAAGCTTATAATGTTGTATATATAGTAGTCAAATACATCACTTCTTCAGTCCTAGCCATTTTGGAACTTGAACATTATTGTTTTGTTTTAAATTATATGAAAGCAAAAGCCTTATCAATCTAATTTTTTATTACTATGGAAAGCATTTATGGCAATAAAACAGTCTTTTTTTTTTGTTGACCACCTTCAATCCCACTACTCATGGCTTTGTGGTTTTTTTCCAGCCCACTTCAAAAGACAGGGGATGGTTCATAGATCCCCTGGGAAATAATCCTTGGTGGACACTACTGGTAGCTGCTGTTCCTGCTTTACTCTGTACAATTCTTATTTTCATGGATCAACAGATCACAGCAGTAATCATAAACAGAAAGGAGCATAAGTTGAAAGTAAGTTTTACTTTTATTCATTTTGTAATGTAATATAAATTAATTTGTGGACATAAGTTAAAATTAGTGCAAATAAAACGTTTTCTTTTCAAAATTAGGATAAGGTCTACAAAACAAAATTAAGCTGAAACTGTTAGCACTCTTAGAAACCTCTAGATAATAGCTTATTTCTCTCTTGTTGTTTGTTGCTAAGTTATGGGCTAGTGAATATTGCAGCACAAAGTAAAAGATCCTAAAAGATGTTCAGTTTTGTAGAAAATGTCTTTCTTTCTTGACTTTACAGAAAGGCTGTGGCTATCACCTTGATCTGCTTGTGGTTGGTGTTATGCTGGGGATATGTTCCCTCATGGGCTTGCCTTGGTTTGTGGCTGCAACTGTCCTGTCTATAAGTCATGTCAACAGCCTAAAAGTCGAATCTGAGTGCTCTGCCCCAGGAGAGCAACCAAAGTTCTTGGGAATCCGGGAGCAACGAGTAACGGGGCTCATGATTTTTGTTTTAATGGGGTTATCTGTGTTCATGACCTCTGTATTAAAGGTAAGATTATATTGTTCCAAAACATACACCTTTATTTTCATATCACAATTTAGTGTTTGATCATTTCAGCAAGTTTAATGGTAATAAGACAGTACATTTAATTTAGAGGAATCTTTTCAAAAGAATCTGCAAAGATTTGGAAAGGAGGAAGAGTGGGAAGAAACAGCACCTTCAAGAGTCTGATTTGTTTATAATTAATAAAAATTCTGCAGGTCAGGTTAGGGTCTGTTTGTTCCAGATTTTTCCCTGGGTGACTTGAGTGGGTTTTCATAGATGAAAATTGGTTGGTAATGCACAAAATTGAGTACAATCAACCTCATCTTTTCTCTTAACTGTGTTTGTTCTTCAGCACTGAAAGACGTTAAAACTTGTCACTAAAGGGTGCAGACGGAAGTGACAGTTTTACCCTGAGCTGGCCACAGACACCAGTTTATAGCTGTGACCAAAAACAAGTGCACCACTGTAGACTGTTTAAAAAATGGCTGATAGGGCGAAAATGTGACCCCCCCCTCATTGCATGAGGTATCAGATAGACACTTCAAAATGTAGCGTCTTTTGTAACTTGTCTTGGAGGTCCCAGCCTGTAGCTGTTTTTAGGATGGGAGGGGAGGAGGGAGCGGAGAGAGCTCAGTCTGGGGGGCTTTCAGTGCTTCCTGGAGGATGGGGAGGGTGTATTGGAGCCCCTGCAAGGTCCAGTTCACCCCACCCCACCCTTCAGCACCAGCGGGGAGCCCCAAGAATGAGCTCCTTTTGCTGCCTTCTCCCCCCTCCCATTCTGAAAACAGGAGCACTGGCAGAGAGCCCTGGCCTTTGCTATGGGAATTTGGCTCCCAGCTGGCAGCTAATATTCCCCTCCCATCTAGAACCAACAGTGAACTTCTGTTTGGTCTGGTGTAACACCGTAATTCGGAGCGCTTTGAAAAACTTGTCCAGAGTTACATCTGGGAACCGCACTTCAGTCTGCATCCAAAAATGGAAACACATGTTTGGGTATATGAAGAATTGTAATACCTAGCTCTTGTATAATGCTTTTCAGTTCTTGATCTCAAACACTTTCAAGTATCATCACTTTGAAAACAGAGGAAACAGAGCTGTTAAAATGCCATTTTAAAACAGTAACCTTTTATATACTTTAATCCATGAAAGTTTGACCATATATGTTAGAAAAAATAATGTTCCTAAACTAATAAGTGGGAAACTTAGGATAGATTGAAGAAATATCCAGACTCAGCCCACTGAAAATAGAAAGGTCATTCAAAAGTCAATGAGAGTGCTTTAAAACAGTACCTCTGGAAATGTACTAACTGGTTATTTATTGTTCTAATGGGTGGAGTGCAGTAGTATAAAGATGCAGACAATTGAAGTCTGACCTATAAAGTTCCTTTCACATCTAACATCTGATTCAATTGTTTAGCTTCCTTGAGGCCTATTACAGATGGAAATCACATAATAGATGGCTGTTTCTTTGGCATACCACTTACTGAAAAATTGAAAAAGAAAATTACCAGTTCTTTTCACTTCTGCTTTCCCCTCCTCAGTGAGACACCTATGCCTTTAGGCTGTCGTGCTCTTGTTCTGTATCTCTGCACATACTACTTGTCAATTTATTCATGCATGATTGAACTTTCTCTTCCACTCTTTTCAACACCAGCGTTGTTGAAATTCTGTGCAACTTGGCAAGTTTTATTTAAGGACTTTGGTTTAAACTTAGTGGAAAGAGGGTAGCGATAGTGAGAATCTTGTCCATCTGTTCAAGCTTTTTGCAGTGTGTTACAACTTTTCCAGTATAATCAGTAGTTAGAGTGCACAGTCAATCTTGCCTTTACATAACCTTAAGTACTTTTTTTTTAGTGTTGAATGGTATGGGAAAGGCCTTGTCCAAGGCCTCCTTGAAGTCAGGGGAAAGACCCCAATCAACTTGAGTAGATTTTAAAAAAACTAATCCCTTTGTCAAGGTAAACCTGAACAGTTTGCAGAACTGGATGGCTCAGTAATAGTAATAGTCTTTCATTTTTATTGACTTCAGTGTAGTCAATAATGACCAAAAATTAAGCTCATGAAATGTAGTATACTGTATACAACTTCCCTCCAAAATTGGGGTGCCTGTCTTTAAGCAGGGAAGCTGATTTTCTTTGCCAGAACTTCACTGCATGTAGGCACAGAAGCATGAGTGACTGGTGCCTCCTGAATCTGCGGGGGCACCCACAGAAGCCACTGGTGGCCATGGCCCTGTCGGGGGGGAGGCACCAGCCCTACCGACAGCATCAGACCCCATCAGGACGGGCATGTGCACCCCCTACCAGTCGCCTATGCACAGAAGGACAAAGACGAGTGACTGGGGACAGTTTGAGTGGCCGTGAAAGGGTTTAACTCTGTTATTGTACTGATCTGCCTTCCTGTTCCTGGAAGACGCTGAGAAGCTGACAGCACTATCTTGAAAAAGCTAGCTCTAGGCCATGACTCTGGAAACTTTTCTTCCCTATATTCTGCCTTCCAAAAACATGGTACATGTCTTATTTGGTGTGGTGGCATGGTATGTGAGAAAATGTAGTATTATGGAAAATGCTTTTGGTAGTCTTGATCCATTGGTGGTCTCAGAAGAATCAGAGAGAGATCCTCTGGCATCTCTAAACCAGTGATGGTGGGTCCCAGGGAGGGTAATGACCAGAGGGTAAGTCACTCTAGATATATGTTCAATGCTCTTCTGCAGAAATGGGGGTTGGATACCTATAGCTTGCAGGCTGGATCTGGCCTGGGAAGAGTCTGGATCTGCCTGCAGCAGCTCAGGGAATTGATAAAACACTCCAGCCACAACAACAGAGGTGCAGTCCCTAGGATCCTATTGCCTGTCACATTCAGTTTATGTACTCTGCTTGAGCAGAGCAGGCAACCCCAGGGTCCTAGTTGCCTGCCTTTTTCTAGGAATTTCCTTCACAGTATCTTCTGATTGCTAAGGAGGTGCTGGGGTGCCTTCTACAGTGGGGACTGGATCACAAACAGTGGCCTGTGGTGGCAACATGTTTCCAACCCCTGCTGTAAAGTATCCACTCCTGCCACTGTCCAGAGATGGGCTAGTAGGCTAGACCTTTGATTGGACTCAGTATGGCACTTAGGTGGTTCTTTTCCAATTCTCAGGAAACAGTTACATAAATGAACACAATTGGCACAAACTAACGTCCTTGTAGGAGTCTGAGGTCAAGGAATGCAATAGACAAACAGAGTTACTTTCTTAATCCTAGTTGTGGCCTCACTAGAACATAGGTGAAACATAGTGATAGGTTTGGCTTATGCTCTCCTGCTTCCTGGTGCTGCAGTTATCCTCTAAAAAACAATAAGGAACCTCAAAGTTGATGTTATTCTGATGCCAAGAAAATAATTCTGATTCTTCCCTGCACACATTTATGTTAACTTGGACAACTATATTTTATCATGTTTTAAATAAATGCAAGCCTCAACTATTGAATTGACAGTCCTATTTTTTCCCAGTTTATTCCAATGCCGGTTTTGTATGGCGTCTTTCTTTACATGGGAGTATCTTCACTAAAGGGCATCCAGGTAAGGTCTAGTTTTGCTGAATAAGTTTATATTTTTGGATGGTGTTTTTCTATTTGCTAAGGCTACTAGAAAAAATGCATCTTTTTCCTGGAATAATCTTTCTAGGAACATAGTAGTTCAGGTGCTTAAGATAAAATCAAAAAATATAATTATCTGAACTCAGTTGCTTTGCATCAAATGGGGTGGGGGGGAAGTAACATACCTCTCTTATGCAAGTGTGAGTCACATTATAGTGTATCATCAGAATAAGAGGTTAGAAACACGTGCCCAGTTTGGCACATGTTCTTCCTGAAGGCATATGAATATGAAAATCCTAAAATAATGTCAATAAATGTGGACAGCTATGTTTTTAAAATCAAAAAGTAGTGACTCGAAATGAATGAAAACTATTTATTTACATTTATAGCTTGTAAAATTAGGCGTTTTTCAGTGGGCTTGGTATCTACTTAGTTTCTTTTTGGAAAATTCCATTAGTTGAAGGTTAATCTTCTTCCATACAGTTTTTTGACCGTATAAAATTGTTTGGAATGCCTGCCAAACATCAACCCGATTTGATTTATCTGCGTTACGTGCCACTTTGGAAGGTCCATATCTTCACAGTTGTTCAGCTCACCTGTCTGATTCTTTTATGGGTAATCAAAGCTTCTGCAGCTGCTGTTGTTTTCCCCATGATGGTAAGTTGTTTGGCTTAATACCTTAATTTTCTAAAACAATTATATCATACAGAATATTTAAGGCATGGGTGCTCAACCCCTGGCTTATGAAGCTACGGCATCCAGCCCCAGGAAGTCCCCACATATCAGGAAATTTGGTGACAGGGAAGTAGTGGCAATTACTACAGCCACCCGTCTCATGCTGCCAGATTCCCAAGTCCTGTGTAGCCAGGTCAGGGCCAGTTCACAACCCCTTTCTCTTGTGCAGCCACATTGAGGCTGAACCACATCCCCTCCTCCTCCCCCTCACCTGCGGCTGCATTGGGAGCCGGGTCATGCCCCTTCTCCCTGTGCAGCTGGATTGGGGGCCATGCCATGCCTCCTTCTCCACAAACTGCCCATCCTGCTGCCCACAGGGCAAAAAGGTTGAACACCACTGATTTAAGAGTTTATTTATAGATGGTAAGAAAGTTTTAGTAAAAATGTTTCACTTTGGAAAACATTTTATTTTTCTTGAAAATAAGCAACGGGCTAAGTTGAATCACTGTAAATGTGATAGAAGTCTTGAGTTTTTGAGACACTTTGGCTGCATATACATGTTCAAATGAACTGGGAGGATCCTCCTAGGTTTGTTTTCTTGGTTGAAAAACTTACCTGGCAATGCCTGAACAGACATTCAAAAACTACACCACTAAAGAGCAGAGAACTTTTAGTGTTGAGGCTGCACAGCCAGGGGGCCCACCCCTGCACACATCTCAGCATGTTCTGCAGGCTCACTCAGTCTCCCTAGAGACCATTGTCAGTGGTCGGCAAGAGGCAGCCCTGGATTTGCTGACCCAGACTGCTTGGTGTCAGCCTGACTGCCTGCAGCACAATGCATGATTGTGAAGGGGGTGTATTCTGCTCCCTCCTTGGTGGGACTGTGTTGTTTGCTGGACTCTGCTGCTCCAGACGGGGAGCACCCTGGGATGCTGAAGAATTGTGCTGTGGTTTCTGTTAGAAGATACTTGGTCTTCCAGGAGAAACTTACAGGAAAGTGATTCAACCCTGGTTGTTTTCTGGGATAAAAAGCCTGAACATCTATACACTTGAGGCCTCTCCTGGGAGAGCAGCATCTTTCCCAGGACAAACTGAGTCTGTACGTGTCCTTAGTTTGTGTGGTCTAGCTGTTCTTCCTGTTGTGAAAGGGGAGAAAAAAATTGTCCTTGGTTAGAGAAACTTAATATCTGGAAATGACCTTATATTTCTGTATAACAATATTTATTTAAGGGTTCAATTTCTGTTTCCATTAAGGTTTTAGCATTAGTGTTCATTCGCAAACTCATGGACTTGTGTTTTACCAAACGAGAGCTTAGTTGGCTTGATGATCTTATGCCAGAAAGTAAGAAGAAGAAAGAAGATGATAAAAAGAAAAAGGAAAAAGAAGTAAGTTTAAAAAAAAAAAAGTCAAAACTAAATTAAATGAAAACTTCCTGAGTTAATTGCAACAGATAGATATAAAATTCTCATTAGCTTATAAGTTGGCAGAAGCACTAGCATGGATTTTTAAGTTAGCATTTAATTTTTAAAAAAATCAAAGGTAATTAACATCTGAAATTCTCTACCTGAGGTGTTTAGTATAAGAACTGATATTTCTAGGATTCAAGGGGAGAAAAGGATAATTATTTAAACTCTATTAGTAATGGGTTATGATTCAGGAAACAAGTCAAACTTAGTGCCAGAAGTAACTTCCCCATTGAATATTAATAGCTTTGGGACTCCCGCTGTTGCCTAGATCAGGGGTAGCAATTTATGACACAGGTGCCACAAGTGGCACAGGCAAGCACGTAGTAGAGTGGGGAAAGGACAGGCAGCACAGTGATAAGTTGGTGCGGGAGCAAAGAACAGAGCATCAGATCAAGCAGGGAGGACAGGCAGCATAAAACTGGACAGGAGGGTTAGGTAAGGGAGTGGGATCAGAGTGCCACTTGGGGAGAGTGCAGGGCTGACTTGTGGCACATCTGCCAAAAAAAAGTTGGCAGCTTATGCTTTAAACAAAGAACAAAATCCTGTCCCTGCAATTAATAGAAAAATATAGTTGACTTTGGGGCTGAGATTTCACCCAGCATGTTTTTGCTGATGTTAAAGTAGTTCATTTTACTGAATTTGCCTGTGTAACTTTTTTCTTTCTCAAAGTTTCAGCTAAACTTACCCTCTCATGTTTAGTTCCCTAACATATTTCTATCAGGTGCGACACTGTCCTGCCCTTTGCTTAACTTCAGATGAATATGGCTAACTACCTCTCTGGGCCCCTTTCCACATACAGGTAAAGGTGCAGTGGGATCTAATGCATGATCCACACAATTGTGCCTCCTTTACACATGCATGGCAGGAGATACGATTGTGGGATCACACATTAGTTCCCATTGCATCCAATCACCAGTGCAGGGGGAGCCTGGGATAATGATTACAATCCCAGGCTCCTCCTGTGCCGGCTCCCACAGCTGACAGCCCAGCAGCCAGTGTGGGCTGCAGGGTTTGCAGCAGGGGCAGTGCTGGGAATGCTGCCTCAGCAACAAGCCTGATCAGCTGTGGGGTTTGCAGCAAGGAGAACGCTGCCCTGTAGTGGACAAAGCTCACAGCAAGCACAGTATTCTCCCTGTGAGCTGTGCAGCTTATGAGGCTTACAGGAAGGGGTCAGTACCAGGAACACTGCTGCCACTGTGAGTCTTGTCAGCTGGGAGCTCCTCAGTTGATGGGATGGATTCAATAATTTCATTAGTCCCATCAGTTCTCGGTTCAGGAGCTTTTCCTGCAGCATCCAATAAGGGAGGCACTTGCTAGTTGATTGGGCTCCCAGCCATAGAGGGGCACTTAGCCATATGTTCAGTTAATGACGTGATTTAGAACAAGCAGTGAAGTTAGTACACAGTTTTGTTTTGTTTTTTTTAAATAACTTTGTAGCTTATTGCTTGCTTTATCATGCCATTAAATGGTTGAATGTGTAACTGGGTCAGAGCTTAAGGCATGATTAACGGATCAAGTGCAACATAGAGGGAGCCTGTATTTCAAATACATAATTAAATTCTTTTTTAAATAAAAAAAAAATCAAGAATTCCTGCTGCTTCTCTCCATCTCTGTGGCTTCAATCAGTTTGCTCTTTTTTTCTGTTTGAGTAATTTTATGAATTTTGTGCATGCGATTCTCAGGAAGCAGAGCAAATGCTTCACGCAGGGGACAGTGAAAGTATGCACCTTCCATATGGAGGAGGAAATATCTTAACGATTCCTGTAAAGACTATGAAATACAGGTATTATGCAACTCCATTCAGCATTTCTACTTCTTGCTTTTAATACAAATAGAAATAATTCTGTTTGATGAAAGAACAAGTTTAACATAAATTTTGTGATGCAGCTAGCTGTGGGGGGGGGCAAATAAGAACTGGTGTGCGCTTCCATGCTATAGAAGGGTGGATAGATGGGGGTAGGAGGGTGTGTGTGTCTTGTGCGTGTGCGTTAATTGCATCTTAATAATTCATTCACATGACCATCTTGAACAGATCAGATGACTCGGTTTCGACCAGCTGTTCACAGGGTGAAGAAGCTGTTTTGGTTAGTTTTCAGAGTGCTTGTGTGTTGCTGTGCATGGCTAATGGTAGGAAACATTAGGTACTAGCATCAGTTGAGCCATATGTTTACCAGCCACTTTGAGTAATAAAATTGAAGTCTAACACTGTCTTTTGCATATTTTTATGTGGAAAAATATGTACACAAGAGAAATAGTTGTAAGACCATTAAACCAAAGCCATTACAATAAAAAAAAAAAGAAAAGTATTCTTAATAGTTTGCTTGAAGCACAATTTAAATCTTGAATAAAAGAAATACCATTTATCCCTTGTTTGCAATTCTCTTGTTGTATATAGTTTCCTTTATAAGGATGAGCAATTTTCTAGAGCTGTAATGCAGATTTTCTTCCTGTTCCCAGGAAAAGTTGCATTGCATTTTATATTGAAAAAGCAAGTTTAATCTAATAGCTAACTTTAAGGTATAGAGAGCTAACAGATTACACCAAGGTAAAAATGGATAGGGATATAATATACACCAGCTGCTTCATGGTAATTCTGTGCATCTGCTCTTACCCTGTGATAATTGAAAGTTTAACTGTGGTAACTTAGCCCTAAATAAGAGTGGAGCAAGGCTGTAACTTACTTGTTTATAGTCTTAGCCAAAACTACATGAATAAAAGGAGAACAAGACACCCATGTCCTCCATCGCTATACTATCTAAAACAATTCCACTGAAAGACTTTCTTGACATAACAATCGGTTACTGAAACCAGACACTTTGATACCTTTTCTCTTCCCTTACAAGGAAATCTCTTGGGCCAAGTTTTCTGCTTTTCTTGGCTAATGTCACCAGCAAATAATGAAGTGCTGGAATTTGTCACTGTCAGAAATACCTTGCAATACAGGAGGAAGATTCCTTTTCTATATGCACCCAAATTAATAGAGAAGGATTGGACCAGGTTTTCCAGTGTTTGCAAGCAGTAAGCACACCTGGGAATTGTTGGGGCATAGGTGCAGCTCCACTTTTACATTTCAGCATTGCTGGGTTACAAATTCATCTCCCAGTGCAATGAAGACCATCTTTAGGTCAACTCTGATTTGAATTATGAGATGGTGCCCCAAAGTAGTCATTTGCTAACTGGGATTTTCTCACTGCCCTCCACCATCATAATCATTATCAGATGCTTTATCCTGCTTTATCAGATGAAAGATGATCATCAAGGCTGTGTTCCCATGACCAGAGCAATTGCCATGGGGGGAAAAAAGCAGCAACACAAATTTGTGCCACTGCTTTTTGTCCCAGCGCATGGGTATAGTGCAGGAAAAAATGTTCTCAGTGGGGTAGGGGAGGCTGGGGCCAGCACCTGGGCCTAGTAGCCTTACCTGAGGTCCGGTGGGCCTCCCAAGGCTGCAGCAGCAGTGATCTGGGCATGCAGAGCCTGGCTCTGGCCAGCCAGAGCTTAGCTTGGCTCCAGAATCCTGGCTTTGAGGACTGAAGTGAAGCTGTACTCCAGCAACTTCTGAGCCCCATCGACAATGGTGCTGGTGCAATCAGAACCTCAAGAAAGATGTTGGGGGGCTAGCGGGTCCCTGCACGGACAGCAAAGCACCCCCAGATGCCCTGTTCTCCTCTACCAGCAAGGAGAGACAAATCCCCCTGATCTCAGTGCTACTTGGCTCCCACCTCCCCCTGGAACTGAATGGGAGCTGGGGCATGGGCTGGGGTTTCCCAACTTGTTGCTGTTCTCCTTCTAACCAAGTGCCTTCAGAGTCAGAGCGACTCTGAGGTGCAGAGGACCCAAGCTAGTGCTGCTGAGCCGGATTGTGATTCCCCAGCTTTGTACCTCTGGGAACTGGCCCTGCTCTAAGATAGGTCCCTGCTCCCCAGAGCCCAGGCCTGACCTCTGTGCCCTTGCTAGCTCCTGGTGGGCATGCGTTCAGATGCATGTATGGGCACAGTTTAATGCACCTAAATTTTCTGCGCGGAAAATTCAGGGTCATTTAATTGCATGTGTAGATGTGCCCACTGAAAATGTTTGTGCGATGGAAGGATTGTCTTACCAAGCTGAGTACCTATGTTAGGCATAAGATGTTCTATTCACTGTTTTCCATACAAAAAGGGTAAAAATACATTTTCAAATTTTCTCTTAGAAAGACGGCTTGATTTCCATTGGTTTGCACCTTGTGGAACACCTTACAGATCAGGGTAGTAGGTTTGAGAGATTGCTGAAATATACGTAGAATGGGCCGCAAAGTGCAAGCTAGTAGAGATTTAGGCCTGGTGGACTCAAATCATTCTTTGAAAAGGACTACATTTTTGGTGAAGAAATGGACTGGATTTAGGGGAGAGAGTGGCAAAGGCAGCAGTGGCTGGACCAAGATGCTTAAGGCTTTATGCCTTTAAGCATATAACCTTGGCCAAAACTGAATGAATATCCACTTAGGGTCAACAAGGCACCTGTGTCCACATTCATCCTTACGAGTGTCCAAATGGAAAAAAACAGGTTTCTGTAATTCAACTTTCAATAAAGATATCCTCACTTCATATCCTAGATCAGCAGAACAACTTAAATTTACAATCTATTTCTAGGTTGTGGGATTTTACAACTTCAGTCTTAAATCATTTAATAGATGCAGTTGTTTCCCTACATATTCTTCTTATCAGATTATTTCCTGGGAACAGATTAGCATAATTATGAATTTCTAAAGAAATCAGTCACTTAAAAAATGAAGTAAGCCTTCTGCTTTTTTTATAACATTTAAAAGGAAAAAAATGACTTTAAAAGAGATGATTACAGGATAAGGTAATTGAGAAATGAGGTATTTAATTTGTATTGCACAGTGGCATTTTAGTTGCAAGATGGCTTTAGGCTGCTTGGATGGTGGGAAACCACCAGTGATTAGGAGTTTTAAATTACTATTTAATTGCGTTGTGTGGAGTAAATTTGACTCAATGTCATTTGTGGCTGTGTAAGAAAGCACTGCTGATGTAAATCTTGTGTTACAAATTTTAATGCTCTTGCAAAGTATTGAGTACTAACCAAAAAGTGTGTTTGTTCTTTAGCACTGATCCCTCAGTTGTAAACATATCAGATGAAATGGCCAAAACTGCACAGTGGAAGGCCCTTGCCATGAATACTGAGAATGCCAAAGTAACCAGAGCTAACCTGAGGTAGCTATAATTACTCACTTGCACATTTTCTAACTGCAGCTTCATGTTTAGCAGCTGATGGCTATAATGATTTGTTTTCTAGAATGTATTTTAATACCTGGAATATGCATGACAGTATTTGTGTTGACATCTTGGGTTCAGGGGACACTAGACATCTGACATACACCTCTTCGGTGACTTTCAACAAGAAGCTACACAACAACCAGTCTGAGTGCCTATAAGGGATCCTTTCGGTTACAATATTGAAATGTAGTCCTAATTTGAAAAAACTTAAAATTTGTTTACTAAATAATGGCTTTCGAAGACCACTTGGGTAAAAGCTTCAATGCCTTTTCTGAAGCTGTAAGTGAAGACGTTACCCAGAACCCAGCTCCTGTTAGCTCCTCTGATAGTGTGCATGTGGCAGGCTGTCTCTTAGGGAGAAAAATATCCCAGGATTTCCCCATTGCCGAGTAATGATGCAAAATCCCATGTGTCCTAGAATTACCATTTTTATAAGAAATTATGGAAATGGGCTAAGGATCAGAATCCTTTGAATGCAGCACCTCTTACAACATTTGATTTCAAGAAGACATACAATATGAAATTACACTACCTGAACCAGGATTCTATCATCAAGTCCGACTGGATCTAGACATTACAATTGGCTTCTATAGATCCTAGAAAGTCTTGGAAGAAGGCCTTTTGGACTCTAGACTGGTGTGATTTGGTAATCTCCAGTGAGGCACCTAACAGAGCAGTCTGGCCAAAGACACCTGAGTCAACACATTCCAAGTATGGGAAACTGAGAGAGAATTTGGAGCAGTCTCATAAGTGTTGAGCCTCAATGAGTCCTTGTAAGATATATATATATATATATATATTTTTTTTTTT